AATATTATTAAACATAATAATTATTCACCCTAATTTTTTCAATTCCACCCTTATCCCCCTCTCTCCCTCGTCTCTCTGTGAACGGCAGCGTCGACGCTGCAGTGAACGGCAGCATGCGAGGCTACAGTTCACAACAGTGTCGAGACCGTTCGTGGGTGGGTGTGTGTGTGTGTGTGTTGTGGGTGTGTGTGCAGTGGCAGAGTGGAGTTGTGGTGATAGTGTTGCATTGAGGTGTGGTGGTGGTGTTGATACTGGTTGTAGTGGATTCAGATCTGGTTGGTGGTGGTTAGGGTGGGCGTGGGATGGGTTGGGTCGGTTTTTGCCCCAACCCAACTTGTCGGTTTGGTTGAAATTCAACCCAACCCCAACCCATATAAAGATTGGAACCCAACCCAACCAAACCCAACTAAATGTCGGTCCGGTTGGGTTGCGTTGGTCGGTTTGGGACAATCAAGAAACATTTGTAGAACCGGCATATCCACTGAAGTGCCAAGGATTAAAGTAACTCCAAGTGAATTGAACTCTAGACAGATTATTCATACTGTCGGAAATAGAATATAATTGAACCAGAATAGTCAATTCCTTTTAACTAGCAATTTCACATAATTTAATTACCACCATTCATATGCTGGCTGAAAAATAGGGCCAGGAGCATATCACATCATTTACAAACTGACAAACCACATTTCGCTTTCCATAATCCGAGCTAGTGGGCTAAGATTTATTCTTTTATTTTAAGTCAGTAGTAAATAACATTGTTTTGACCCTTAATGTTTGATAAAATATAAAATCATAGCCACAAAATAGAACACAATATGAGTGGCAAATTACCTTGATCGATAGTGTTTGTCAAAATGCCGCTAATAAGTGTCTGAACATCGTCGGCTTCAAAAATCGGAAGCGTTTTCGATGAAGTTCCATTGACAGTATCGAATGAACTAATTAGAAAATAAATGTTAAGCTCAGCTAGAAATTTACAATCTTCTAGAGCCCTCGCAGCTGTTATTGCCAAATTTCTCAACCCCTGTAGATACTTGTTAACCAATGTAAGGAATTTTCAGGCCGTGGATAAGGATTTTTGGACAGAAAACAGACCATAATCGTACGCATTGGATGAGGAATTTGAGTTTGGAACAAGCATTGATTTACAGAATCTAGGATAAAGGGTAGATTTGCATATGGTTGAAGGCGGTACAAGATTTGCTGGCGAATGAGTTTGTAGGGGGTGGAAGTGGGCAAACAATCCACCGCCATTGAAGCTAACTAGTTGCAAATCATCAAGTGGTAAAAGCAAGCATGGCATCAAACGGCTAGAGAGACCGACGATTGGTGAGAGATGGCGAGAGAGAGAGAAAGAGAGTTGGAACTTGGTCGGAAGAATAAAGTTAGGGTTGTGTTTTGTGTTATGTGGGCTGGGGTTGCCTTTTTTGTTCTCTTGGACTGGGTTCTCATAATTTTTTTATTTTTTTTTTAAACTAAGTGGGTCGGGTCGGGTTGGGTTGGGTTGACTTGGTTATTAAGAGTCAACCCATGAACCGACCCAACTTGCCCGAATCCAGCTGAAAAATCACAAAAAACGGCTCAAACCGGTCTGTTTGGGTCGGGGTTGGGCAGTTTTGGTGGGTTGGTTTGGGTTTTACCCACCCCTAGTGGTGGTGGTGATAGTGTGAGGTTGGATGCTGTGGTGGTGGGTGTGTGTACTGTGGGTGCGGTGGTATTGGAGACGTGGTGGCGATACTGTCAGTGTATGGTGTTTGACTAGTTGTGGAGCAGATGTGGTGGGTTGGTGGGTTCAGATCTGGTTTGATGGTGGTGGTGATAGTCGTGAGGTGGTGATGTTGTGGTCGTGGTGTTCTGTTGTTATTGTTGGTGGTGGTGGTGGCGGCAGCGACAAGATGAAGAGTGTTTGGACAACTA